GCCAAAGTAGTGCCTCCAGTCGTGGCAGCAGCAGCGTCAAAACCATGTCTGCGCCAGAAACGCCTGTCGTGTGGTGAGAGCTGGGTATCTCAAACTTACCGCATGGTGTTCCAGCCGGAAACAACGGAACAACCACTGGGCGCATCTCTGGTTTAACGTGGAGACGATCGATGTGCAGCTGTGTGGCTTCGGGAAGCATCCGATTCAAGATGATGGACTTTTTTTCGGCCGTAAGAACATCCTGCTGCCGGCAAAAAAGTGTTCTTGCCAGAAGGTCCGAGCGGAAGTCTCCCGCAGCGGTGCAGTACTTGGAAGGATTGTTCATGTCCTCCGAGAAGACCTTAAAACGGATGGGCGCCCAGTCAGACACAGAGGCAGTCAACACCTGCGTCCCGCCACGCTCCCGGTCCGGCAATTCACGCACAATTGCCCTCATCCGGGGACCAGCCTTGCGAGAAATGCGGTCAAATATGCAGATATGCTCAGTGGCGGCGAAAGAACCGGTAAAACAGCAGAGAAGCAGCAGCAGCAACAGAACGTACGGAGTGTGGCGCATTCCTCGTGTTTTTCGTGCACGTAGCGTCTCGTTCCCTTCTTTCCTCCTGCGCTTCACTTGCTCGTTGTGTCGCTGTACTCTGATTTGTGTCTAGTGTGAGGTCAATAACGCCAAAAGAAAAAGAGTGAGCGTCTGGTCCGCTGACGAGCACACACACACACGCACGCACACCAAAAACGGCCACGGCCAAGACACGCCCGTAGCCACCCGCGTGCCCAGAGGCGCACACTACGAAAAACGAGGCAACCAACACCGTCGGCAGCGCGTCGTCCCCATTTCTGCTGCGTGAAGTGTTGCGCCCGCGCGCATGCCGCACGACTCCACCTCACCGCGCACAACACCACCGCAGCGGAAATCGGGTCCCCCGCAGCAGAAGGCAAACCCTTTCGCCGCACCTCAACCACTCACGCTCACACACCACAGTTGACCCCCACAAGCAAGATGGGGGCAACCAACCACACTCCGCAGCCAAACGTCTCAGATGCCCCCTCGCAAAGGGCGTCAGGCGTAGCCGGAATAGAGAAACAAGGTGCACAGCAACGCACCATCAGACCCTCGTACGGCCCGTCGCACCCACACGATTCGACCTTTTCTGCCCAGTCGCAGTGAAACTCGTCTGCAAACAAGCAGCAAAAAAAGCTGGTGGAAGGGCCCTTCGGGAATTTCCCAGCACCAAAATGACCTCGCCGCCAACACCTCCTCCGCTCATCGCCAAAAAGCCGCCGCCGTTAAGAGCGCAGCCACAAAAACACCGCCTCTGCCCCGCCGTCCGCAAGGCCGCCACGCTGCGGGTGTCGCACACACACGGTGAAAATCCCAGCAGGGAGCACGCCTGTCACAACTCACACGGCAACACGCATCGCCGGAAACTCCTTCCCTCACAGCCCCGTCGTTCCCTCTCGAAGACACGTGCCCTCCACCCACGGCGTGAAGCAATAAAAAAGACCCTCCAAGTCAAAAAAGCCGGAAAAAAAAAGGTCTTCTTCCAGCACGTTGTGCACAGAGCGCAGCCCAATACGCACCACACCGCGCAGCGGCTGCCCCCCAACAGCACCCTCGCCAACAGTCGCGCAATTTGTGCCTCACCGCGCCCTGCGGAGAGAACCGCCGATGACAGCGAGGGTGCACTGTGGAACCCATGCGGGCCTTGGAGTCTCCGTCGTCGCTGGCAAGCCCTCGAGCAACACAAAGCGTGCCCCCAGCCCCTCACACACACACACACACGTCATCCAAAGCACGGGAGACGCGCAGGCACCACCACCAGGAT